CAATCAAAGCAGGTAAATAAGAATTACTAATCAGTGAGCTACTCCCAAATGCCAATTTATGGTTCTCAGATATCTTATACTTGTTGCAGCATAGCTCCTCATGCCTTGCTTTTCATTTATAACTAATTCCTTTCCATTTTATTATCATAAATATTATGATTATATTTATAACTCAGTGATGTTTCCAATAGTGTTTTTGTGAATTACCATGAAAACAATTGAATGACTTAATTGGTCATTTATCGGTCTCTACATTGTACAACTCAAGAAGTTAAAAGGGGGAAAATCTTCATAACTGCTTTGTAGTAATACACTTGGACCACTTGGTAAGAAGTAAAGATCAGTGGACAAATTATGGAAACAAAGAGATTAGAAGAGACACCAAGCAGTAGAGCCTGCTTTTATTCTCACTCTTTTTTTTCCTCCATTTCTAAGACATATTTCGGTGGCTTTGGTGATGGTTGAATAGAAATAAATCTATATATGAAGCAATTTAGGAAAATTCTCCTAAGTTATCAATCCAACATATGCAATCCTCACATCTCAATAATTATACCAAATTTCATTTATACCTAACATGAGTCCGTTCTGATTCAGAAGGCAGAATATCAGAGTGGCTGAGGACATGGCTTGTGGAACCAGGATCTCTGAACTTGAAATTTATGTCTGGATTCTGCTAGCTTATGGAGATGAAAATTTAGTTAACTCTTATGTACCCTATTTTCACCCTTATAATGTAATTAGTACCTCTCATATTAAATTTTATAAGAATTAAATAAGTTAATATATATAACTTTCTTATAATAGGTCCTACCAAATGGTAGATGGTGCTGGTTTTTCCCTGTTTTTCTTCTGGATTCACTGGGGGCTTCACTGCCTTGCTCTGTGTCCTGAAAGACTAACTTTCATTTTCTTCCTTACTTAGGCTCTCATGACCTCTAACTTCTGGTTGGATTTGCAGTTGGAGACCATGAAAAGAGATAGACAAGAGGAGTGAGATCAGGGTATCCCTTCTTCCCAGTTTCTCATAGCCTGATTTTGGTATTGGCAGTGATTCTCTTTCCTTTTCTGCACTGTAGCTCACTGCTACTGTGAATGGGGATCTCTCTACCTGGCTCTATCTCTTGCTTTGTCTGATAATACTGCTTCCTCCCCATGCCTTATCAGTCTTCATGCAAGCCAAGGCTTTCTGTGCATCTAGGTCCTGGTGATTCAGCACTCCTTGTTGATTCCTTTAACACTATTTACAACTTCATCAATGATACCTCTATTTAATTAATACCTTCAATGAACCATTTGAGAGCACCACTTATTTGCCCGTGGGATCACAATCAGTAGAGTGCCAAATTGTGTAGTTTAAAATAAATATGAGGTTATTTCCTTCAAGTCAATAAAGCAGCAACAGTCATAAGAATGGGAATTTCAAAACTTTGGTAAGGAAAATCAATTTTATTAACCTGGTGTAACTGATAATATAAAATTTCTTAAGAAAAGAGGGAGTGGGTAGAGCTGAGACTAGATTTCAGTTTCAATAGAAGAAAGGAGGAAATACCTTCTTCCAGGGTCTGTACACAATGGTCCTTTCCCTCTTCTCTTCTGGAAAGTGTTGGACGTAAATACTTGGAATATAAGAGGGTGGAAGGTTGTGTTTAGGTGACAATATCTAGTTGAGTATAGATCAAATCCTAGTTTCAGTGTTTAGTGAGGTAAAGCATGAAGACTTGGGAGTTGCTGGGTGGGGTGAGGGGAGAGTGGTTCTCAGTGTTGAGTAGAAGAAGCTTATAAGGCTGTATAACTAAGAGCTAGACCTGAAAAGGCACTTGTAGAAAATAAATAAGAAGGCAATGACTGGTTTCCATTCTCACAGTAGTTACAGAATGACACAGGAAGTATGCAAAATTCTTAAATACAATGATTGTATATTGTAGTAATGTAGTAAGTGTAACAACCTGTTACTCAACTGGCACCCAACTGATAAGTCCATCATAGAAGACTTGAAAAAAAAAACCACACTGCTTCCATATCTCCAGTCACAAAACCATATTCAATATGTGTGCAGGGCTAAGTTTGCAGGAAATAGAGATTAAGAGTCATGAAGGTGAACCTGGGGCATGCAAGCATTAACATTGTGTGAGGTGCTACTACCTCATGAACAAAAGAGTAATTGTTTTATTCAGCCTGGAAATGAATTTAACATAATTATGCCTACAAGCCTTCCCAATAAAACTCAGACTTAAGCATTTTCAACTCTCAAGTCAAACAAAATTCTATAGACACTTCAATTCTCACACTTATCACAGTAGGACTGAAGACAGTATAATGTATCATTAAGAGGGAAGGGGTTAAGGTCTAGAATCTGACTTCCTGAATTCAAATCCTAACTCTGCTACTTCCTATCTGTAAAACCACAAGGCTCAGGTAATACTTACCAGAGCAGTTACCACACATAGAACCACTACATGTGTGTTATTCTTCAATTTCTTGTTGGTTCATATATTTATGAACATTTTACAGATAATAAGTAGCAGAGTTAGGATTCAAATTCAGGAAGTCTGATTCTAGACCTTAACCCCTTCCCTCTTAATGATACATTATACATATTTCAACTTCTGGATGTCTCCGTTTCCTCTTGAGGTCAGAATATTACCTATTTCTTGGGAATATTGTGAGGACAACATAAGACAATACATGCAAAAGACATAGTAGAGTAGCTTGCACATAGTTAATACAGTTAGCACTCCATATCCACAGGTTCTGTATCCGCAGACTCAACTCCATAGATTCAACAAACCGAGGCTCAAAAATATTAGGAAAAAAAAATAAAAATAACAAAAATAAAAATAATATACAATTTAGTAGAGCCACTACTTACATAGCAGTTACACTGTATTAGGTATTAAGAATAATCTAAAATGCTTTAAAGCATATGAGAGGAGGTACGTAGGTTATATGCAAATACTATATCATTTTATATCAGAACTTGAGCATTTACAGATTTTGGTATGGGGGCTTCCTGGAACCAATGCCTTACAGACACCAAGGGTCAAACATATTTAGTAAATCTGAACTGTTTTTCTCTATGTGCATCAAGATTCTATGAATACTTTGAGGACAAGGTCTATATATTATTTATCTTATATCCATTACAGAGTCTATCATATAGTAAGTACGAAATAAATATTTGCTTAAAACTGATTGAGGTTAATTGGACTTAAAGATTTGTTTTCTTTTCTTAAAGAAAAACAAAGCACATATACTGTCTTTCATTGTAATCATCACTGGAGTTTTCATGTTAATCACTGGAGGAAAGACTATTAATAGTTTGCTGTACTTTAAATGTCTGTCTTTTTTAAATATTAGTGCATCAATGTAAATACATATCTACACCCTTAGGTACATACAGAAGCAAATTCACATTTAAGTTGTGAAATAATTATTTACCAAAAAGCAATTAAGCCCTTTTAAAATAATAACCAGGAATAATTTATGGGCCACAAAAAAGAAGAATAGGTTACTCACTTGAATGTCCTTTCATAGAAAATATTCACAAATCCACTTTTTTGACAATAAAATTACATTGTATATATTTAATTTGTAATAAACAATGTATAAAGGGTAGCAATTGGTGTTATAAACTTTGATGAACATTCAATTAGCATCAACATATCAAAAAGTCCTCCTTTCCTATTTACTAGTTCTTCAGTTTACTTAGCCCATAGGAAAATCTTTTTCAAAATTAACAATAAGTAGACTTTTCTGAAGAAAAATAAAGTAGTAACTATGGACTATTATGTTTTGACCACAGGTTATAAACTAGCACATGGTGAAACACATTGGAATAGCAAAGGAGAATGTATGCCTTCGTGGTTTATGGCTATTTAGACAGAGCCCATTTGAATATTTTACTGTTTAAGAATATTTCTATTAATATCTTATTGCATGTATCTATTAGGAGAGAAAACAGTAATGTATACAATTATGATAACAGTTACCATTTATTGGTTTTTAAAAAAGTAAATGAAATTGTAACAGGTCTTTCCCAGGTATAGGTAGACTCTCCTTATCCATGTTTTCTCTTTCACCAGTTTCAGTTGTCCCCCAATCAGCCATGGCCCAAAAAATATTAAATGAAAACTTCCAGAAATAAACAATTAGTAAGTTTTGAATTTGCCATTGTTCTAAGTAGCATGATGAAATCTCACACCATCCCACTGACATGCCCTAGATGTGAATCATCCCTTTGTCCAGCATATACACACTCTAGACCCTAGAAGCCCTGCACAATGTGATTATGTTGGAAGAAAACATAAAACTATCCACAGTTTCAGGCATTCACTGGGGGTCTTGGAATGTATCCCCGATAGATAAGGGGAGACTACTGTAATCCTATTCAACATTCACAGAATCACTAGATGACAAACTCTATCAAGACAGAATTTATCTGTCTATTTTTATTTATCAGTGTCCTCAGTAATCAGCACTGAGTCTAGAATACAGTTGACAATAGATGCTGATTAAACAACAGCTTCCCTTTGAAGTAGGTTCTCAGGAGAAAAAGATTCTTAGTTTGTTAATATTTCACTATTACAGAATGTACATTTTACAAAATCTACCATTGTTTGGCATGGTCAGGGTTATGTTCATTTATAGTTTCAATGTTCACTATATGTTCTCTATTTATGTTCACTATAGTTTCAATGAAAGAAGGCCTGAGACATACCTTTACTTTATCATGTGTAGAAAACTGTAGAAGGATCGAAATTAAGCCTAAAATGTCTAAGAAAATTCCTAACACATGCACTGTAATTAAAAGTCTGCAAAATTGTGATCCTGATTCATGTAAATTGAAGGCTGTAAAATACGACCATTAAAAAATCTTAGAACGTGTATTTAGAATTGTTAAAACTCTTTTAAGATTATGTCATCAGTTAATAAAAGAAAGAAATGTAGGATAAAGTAACCTCCAAAAGTCAAAACCACAAGGCTCAGATAATACTCACCAGAACAGTTACCACACGTAGAACCACACCACGCATGTTATTCTCCAATTTCTTGTCAGTCAGTGACCCATTCAGACCTGTGACAGGATTCCAGCACCCAAGCTGAAAGATAAGACAGCTTTGGTCATTTTTCTGTCTGAAGAACAGTCCCATCACCTCTGTACAGCCCTTATGGAGAACTATGTGATAGCTCTTGGAATAATTGGTATAGAAAGAGTACTGCACAGGTTTTCTTTTTAAATAGGAAATGAAGTTATTAGAAATGCCATTTCTTGCATTAAATGTCATCATATGGCACATGACAGTACCCAACGTGCTTTAAGAGGCTCATTGAGGACATTTTACTTAATGAGGAGTTAAATATACACCAATCACTAAGTCCCAGTAATGCACCAATTGGAAAAATAATAGCACATATAACTCTAACATAATGTCTATTTTAATGTATCAATTACTGTAAGTTAGATTCTCTAATAGTTTCAATGGTTTTAATTTGATCTTATATGACTTTTACTGGGAAAATAGACACTTTTTTAACATGGTTAGAAGGATAACTGCTTTTATTTGAAAAAAAAATCACGTGTATGGCTTTGTTTTCAAAGTATTCATAGCACGTAAAACAATATGATTTGCCTTTTTGTCAGTGTTATCAATTTGCTTGGAATATTTTGGCAGAGCCTTTCTCTTAAAGTCTTGCAATGACTCACTGCTCTTTACTCACCCAAACAGTGGTTCAGTTTTACGCTCTTACGTAGGTCTTATCTCTTGGAATATATAAATCTGAAGGCTACCAGTTTTTAAATTACTGTCTATATATCTGAATGGGATAAAAATTGATGACTCTCCATAAAAAATAAGGAGAAGGCCGGGCGCGGTGGCTCAAGCCTGTAATCCCAGCACTTTGGGAGGCCGAGACGGGTGGATCACGAGGTCAGGAGATCGAGACCATCCTGGCTGACATGGTGAAACCCCGTCTCTACTAAAAAAATACAAAAAAACTAGCCGGGCGAGGTGGCGGGCGCCTGTAGTCCCAGCTACTTGGGAGGCTGAGGCAGGAGAATGGCCTGAACCCGGGAGGCGGAGCTTGCAGTGAGCTGAGATCCGGCCACTGCACTCCAGCCAGGGGGACAGAGTGAGACTCCGTCTCAAAAAAAAAAAAAAAGGAGAAAAGAGAGATGATTTGATTTGAATTAGCAGATAACTGTTTATGGAAGAAGGCTGCAGAGAGAGAGAATGTTGTAATGCACATCTTGGGAAGAAATGTCCTATTATTCATCCTGAAACCAGTTCCATGAGCCTTTACATTTAGGAACATATTCTGCATGTGCAAACTTAAAAATGTAACAGATCTTTAGTCATATTCAGAGCTGTTTTGATTAACTGAATGGTCATAGGGGCAAATGGTTATTTATGCTGTTTCCTCCTGATGACTGTGATTTATTTCTTTTTATTGCGGTTTTTCTGTAGCTTCCAAAGTCATCTACATACTGGCTGGCAAGTCTTCCCTACAAATAAACAATTTAGGTGCTTCTTATTAAAACTCAAGTTTCTCTTTGAGCTCCCCAAAAGGTGTTTAATTAAGAAAACTAAAATTTACATAATATATCTTAAGAGAAGGGAATGTCACAGTATAAACAGCAGAGCCAGCTTTTTCCTTCTTAAAATAATTTAGAAAAGGCTGCTAATTGTTGGTTTCAACTGTAAAAGCACATTAAATTCATACAATGATATGTCATTCTTAGTTACATAAAAAGCCTAATTAGAACTTAGATCCAATTAGCAAATCCAAATGTGTTGAAAGTCTAATTATCAGAGACATTGTGGTCCTCTTGCCAAATTTAAAACTTTTATGAAATTTCTTTTGAGATTTTCTCTTCTGAGGTCAACAAAAGTCTATCTTCAATTGCATTCCCCGATGTGTGCTTTTTCTAATTACTTCCTCAGGAGGATTTTACTTTCCTAGACCAAATAATATTGGTGGAAAAAGTAATCTATAACATTAAGTGAAGAGCTATTCCAATATGCTATCTCCACATATCACAACCATACAACTTAATTTTAAGTTTCACAAATAGCTTTTAGGATATAATCTTGTTCATGGTAAACATGTCTAAGCTGCCAAAGCACACACAGGAATTTCTTTTCTGTCCCCTTTAGATTTGTCTCTTAAGTTTGGTGACACTATTGTCAGTTTGTGTAAATAAATGACATCTATTAGCACCAACTTGACTGTACCATTTCAGTGTCCTGAATAGTCAAAAATATCAGCAACTGGATTAACAGTGAAACTTGAGCCATTTGTTTCAACAATGCTATGGACAAACATTTATAAATATATATTTCCAGTTTCTTCAGAATGATGTTTTCTTTTAAACATAACTGAACATGGTCAATGGTTTTATAATTCTAAAGCACTCTAGTATTTGGAGGTTCCACATAACAACAGCAAAAAAGCATTCCGAGTAGGTAGAATAGGTAAATATATCTCATCTTCTGACCTAGGCAGTGACTTAAACATTATTTATACCATGTATAATATTTATTTTCATTTAAAAATTTGTAGTATTTAGCTAGACTCTCTCATATGTATTACAAGACAATAATTTCTCTCCATTACTTGACAAAGACTTTTCACCTTTCTGTGTTCTCCTTTTGTTTTTTTCCGTCTGACTCATATGTCCTTTGATAACAACATTTGTACAGTTGTTCTTCTTAATAACAGCAGTCTAGATTTTAGGATTGGTAAGTTCCACTTACTTAACTTAGTTCTTCCTTCAAACGTACAAAGAAACTTTAATATTTCCTAAATATTAGCTGTGGATGTAAAGAGCTAGGATGCTCAAAGACTGAATTTGGGAGTAAAGAATGTTTAGGATACAGATTATCTGGAAAACTAGAAATAAAGTACATTCTCTTATCACATATCATAACGGGGTATAACTAATAAATTATTAAGGAAATAAAACAATACTTATTTCCTATATTGATTACATTTTTGAATGCTGTTTAATACTTTGTATGTGTCAGCCATGGTGCTGAGCTTTTTATACATGTAAGCTCCACAATGACCATATGAGAAGGTGCTCTTACAATTGTTATTTAATAGGCAAGAAAACTAAGGACTTCATTTAGATCACATATTTACTAAGAGGTGAAATCAGTATTTAATCCAGTTCTTTTTAAAGTCCAGATACAGCATTTTTGATTAAGGTGTTGTTTTATAGCTTATGAATCCTTTTCATAAATGTGATCTATTCGAGTTAGGTAGGGAAGATATTTCTATTTTACAGCAAACGACATTGAGACTGAGAATTGTTAAGTGTTTGGCTTTATATTCCTGGGCTCAAGGGATCCTCCCACCTCAGCCTTCCAAAATGCTGGGATTATAGGTTTAAACCAGAGCACCCAGACTGCAAATTTCTCATTTTAACATTCCTCAATTTCTGTTCATATCCACTTATCTCCTTGAGGTTCATTTCAAGCTTTTTTGATTATAAAAACTTTTTTTTCAATAATAAGCAATAAAGATGAATTAGATTCATAGAGATTCAAATTGAGTTTGTATCTGCAACTGGTAATATTTCTTGTTGCATAGCAAGATTGACAGGCATAGTGATTAATAAAAACTAGGCAAACTTCACTTAGGTTCAAATGTGAGGCTTATCTAACAAGTCCTCTGGTTTCAATGTCTGAATTCTCATTAGTTTGACTTCTCTGGCTATGTGGAGATGGTTGTTTTTGTCTGCTGTGTCTTTGATTTTGCTTCTATTTTTTTTTTTTTAAAAACAGTGAGTCCAAGACTAGTAAAGATAACACATAAAAAAATCTCATACCATCTATTCAGCTGAGTGCTTCCTAAATAAAAAACAATAAAGGTGGCCCCTGCAGCATATGAGACTTACAGAAAGTCACACCGCTGATGGCAAAACAAGATTCACTATCTTTTGTGGTCTGGCAGTCTGAAGAAAATTTAGAAGGGATAAAAAAAGTAAACCCAATTCAATTTCCTTTCAATTACAATATATTGATTTCCTATAGTATTTTCTGTCATTTTAAGACCTTAAAATGCCTAGTGCTTTAATTATTTCCTTCATTGGAGCTTTGGCAATAATACTCTTGTAACATTATGTTAAAATCAATGTAATATCTTATGTTCTACAAACTGGGTTGATGTATTTGCATGAGCACAGTAGCGTGCTCCTAACATTATGTGTACTAATGATCAAGTTTTCAATATTTACTCTTTCTTCCTCAATGTTTCCACTTCTTATTTTCCATGGGCTGTAAGGGATGACTTGTGACTCTTGGGTTTAACATCATTATTTTTCAGTCAGTGTTATAATGTCAAAAAGAGCTGAACTGCTCAATTTTAATTTTATGCTCAATAGTTTGTAGGCTTTAATAACAGGAATCAGGAGAGCTCTTAATTGAATACCAAATGGAATTCTCTCCATTTATTAGCTTGTATTCATATGGAACAAATGAAGCCTGTCTATAGGTCCAATGCTCCAGCTACCGGACACAAAATATCCACTGCACTGAGGGCTGTATGCTACCAGCCACAATGTTTCGTTTACTTGAATTCTCAGCTTTCTGACAAAAAGAGGGAACAAAAAGTCATAGGTAAAGCAGCTTAAAAGCCAGCCACTTAGAAATGTGCAGCATTTATTTGGTAGATATTACTTCTGTAATGGGATAGAAAGTGTAAAAAATACATATGGCAGGTTGACTCAGATACATGTTTTATAGAATTAAATTGGAATGTTTTCCACTTTGACATGTGAATGAATGCAGTGTGCCAGTAATCTCTCCAACGATAATTTTCTTTATGGTATTTCCACCTGCAAAATAGGTTCAATTTGTAAAATGTGCTCCCTAGAGGATGATTATATGCTCCTAAGATTCTATACTACAGTATGGTCATTACCATAAAGTAGTAGTCGTTCTTGAGATTATGTGGAATAGCCTTAGCACTTGAGTTTCCTTCAGGAGAAAATGTCTTTGAAAAGTCAGAAAAAAAAAAAATCACATGGTTCAACTACTTTTATCTCCCTGTTTCACTACTGAAAACAGAACCTTCATACTATGTAACATGATGAACT